TTTTTGAGAAATTTGGTCTCAGTTTGTAATGTAGAAGTTTTAAAAGGAATTTAGTAGTTCAACAGCATCTGTGAGTATTTTCCTTCTGTATGAGAACAAACATAAAACAAAAAGCCACGTGACTTTTCCAAGGCGATTCAGCAGGGCACTTGTCAAGTTGGAAATGGAGTACTTGTTTGCTTCCAGTATTGCTCAGTAGCATTTTAAACACATCAAAAAATAATAAAGTGCATCTAGCTAGTTTTTCAAATGTTCACCAAGTTGAAAAGCACATTATTTTGAAAAATTATTTTTTTAAAAATCCTGGAGGAGGAAGAATTTACCTTTTTCTGATCAGAACTTAAAATGCAAAATCAAATCCATGTGCTTGACATCCTTGATGGATTACTTTTGTCACGAGGCTTGTAGGAGAGCAGATGGTCGTGCTACTTGGAGTTTTCCACTCATTTGATGTTTCCATGAAGAAACAATTTGCCAGAAGCCAGCCACAGCTACATTTGTGCCGGAGATGATGCTAAATCCTGATTAGCCCAAACCTTCACTTACAGAAGCTGGAGGATATTGGTTCTGTCCTTTTGGAACGGCTTCAACAGAAAATGAGAAAAACGTATATCCAAATGATCTAATTCCAAACAACAAAAAGGCTACAGAAATAAAACCAACACTTTGTATCATTTCAAGAAAACTGTTCAGGGGCCGACCCGGTGGCGCAAGCGGTTAAGTGTGCGCGCTCTGCTGCGGCAGCCTGGGGTTCGCAGGTTCGGATCCTGGGCGCCCACCAACGCACTGCTTGCCAAGCCATGCTGTGGCAGCATCCCATATAAAGTGGAGGAAGATGGGCACGGATGTTAGCCAAGGGCAAGTCTTCCTCAGCAAAAAGAGGAGGATTGGCAGATGTTAGCCCAGGGCTGATCTTCCTCACAAAAAATAAATAAATAAATAAAATAGGTTTAAAAAAAAAAGAAAACTGTTCAGTATCAGATGTATCAATAAAACGAGCAACCACCGGCAGTAGTAATATGGCTCCAGTATACTCCCTGGGTTAGTAAATTGAGGGACAGCTTAGTCTTGTAATAGCTGGAGTGGGGCAAAGTTAGCAACAGTTCCAGTAATAATAGCATAGAAACAGTGTACTTTTCTAATTTTTTTCTTTGCCTTAATAAAACCGAGTTACTTTTTAAGTACCGGCTGAGTTACCTTATAAGATGATTTTCTTACAGATGTGCTAGGATTGTCATTTCCACTGGCCGACTTTGATGGGATCTCTCTATTCAAATTTAATTGTATTTATGATGTCAGAAAATTATGAAATGGTTGACAGTGTAGATGTAAGCTTTATCCACAAAAATCGCCTTTAGCAAGAGAACCATCAACTGAATGGTAATGTCTCTGATACTGTGTGCAGTGCATTACAACATATAATTCCGTGAGGCCCATAAAAAAGGCCTTTCTTCAGCTAGCTCTCTGTTTTTAAATCTTTAAATGTTTTTATACTGCAGCCATATTACTACTACCAGTGGTTGCTTGTTTTATTGATACATCTGATACTGAACAGTTTTCTTGAAATGATACAAAGTGTTGGTTTTATTTCTGTAGCCTTTTTGTTGCTTGGAATTAGATCATTTGGATATATATTTTTCTCATTTTCTTGTTTTAATATCAATTCCACCAATGGGTCTGATATTGGGGTCCTTTCAACCTAATAATGCATTAACATAGATTGTGCCTCTGTAAAAATAATTATTGAGCACTAACTATATGCAAAGCATTATTCTGAGCACTTAACATGTATTCTCAAATTTAATCCTTCCAGCATCCTTATTGGGTAAGGATTATTGTTATTCCCATTTTATAGTTGAGAAAACAGAAAGACAGGCAAAGTAATTTACCTAACATAGAGGACTGGGGGAGCTAGAGTTTAAATCTAGAACAGTCTGATTATGGAGCCTAAATCTTCCTGGGATATCCTTAAAGACTGTTCAAACTTGTTTGCAGTTACTCTGGTATTTCATCAATCCATCCTTTTGAAGTGTATCAAATATACAGTAATGTATAAGTGAAGAAAATGTAGCAATACTCTAAATATTGAAATATCTTGGGACAAAAGGCAAATAATTTAACAATAATCTAAAAAAATTGAAGAGAAAATTACTGTAAAGGACATTATTAGGATAACTGACAAAATTTGGATATAGACTCTGATTTAGACAATAGTATTACATCAACGTTAAATTTCCTGGTTTTGATCATTGTACTGTGGGTTATGTAAGAAAATGATCTTGTTCTTACACACTGAAGTATTTGGGAGTAAAGGGGGTACACTCAACTTGCTCTCAATGGTTCACTCAACTTGTTCTAAAAAGTGTATGTATAAAAATAGGGAAAGTGGGCCGGCCCCATGGCTTAGTGGTTAAGTGCTCCGCTGCTGGCGGCCCAGGTTCAGATCCCGGGCGTGCACCAACGCACCGCTTCTCTGGCCATGCTGAGGCCGCGTCCCACATACAGCAACTAGAAGGATGTGCAGCTATGACATACAACTATCTACCGGGGCTTTGGGGGAAAAAATAAATAAAAAATAAAAATAAAAAAAATAAAAAATAAATAAAAAATAAAAATAGGGAAAGAGGATGATTTTAAAAATAGGCAAAAATGTAAGTAATTGGTAACCAGGTAAAGAGTATACAGGAATTCCTTGTACTATTCTTACAACTTTTCTGTTTGAAATTTCTTTTTTTTTAATTGAAGTAACATTGATTTATAACATTATATAAATTTCAGGTGTACATCATTATATTTCGATTTCTGTGTGGACTACATCATGTTCACCACCCAAAAACTAATTAGCATCTGTCTGAAATCATATCAAAAGAAAAAGTGACCCCAAAATGAAGGTAGAAAACAGGAAATGAAGGTGTAACATTCTAAGAATTTTAGTCAGGTGAAGGATCGTTTCCTGTGCTCTGATTTTTTTTTTTTCTTTTTAGGAGTTGGAGGAAGGAACTTGAAACAAACAAAAAAATCTTATCCAGAATAGCTTGACTTTCTCAAATGTCAAAATCTAGCCATTCAGAGCTCCCCAACTCTCCCACCTCTAAAAAACCAGGCATGGGGGCCGGCCTGGTGGCGCAGCGGTTAAGTGTGCGCGCTCCGCTTCGAGGTTGCGGGGTTCACAGGTTCGGATCCCGGGCGCACACTGACACACCGCTTGTCAAGCCATGCTGTGGCGGCGTCCCATATAAAGTAGAGGAAGATGGGCACAGATGTTATCTCAGGGCCGGTCTTCCTCAGCAAAAAGAGGAGGATTGGCAGATGTTAGC